TACAAAGTCACGAGATGTATGCAAAAAGAATTTTATGAAAACAAAAATTCTACTGCTGATATAGAGCAGCAACAAAATGCCTACTCATTTGTTCATTCATGCATCTATTTATTTACTCATTCACTCATCCATTTCGCCTATCCGCTTCCAGACTCATTCATCAAGTGTTTTGCGTGCCCCAGAAACACAGAATTTTGTCTTTGGCGAGTCTGGGTTGCTCATTTCATTCAGCTAAAATAGGCAGCAACAAAATGCCCACTCATTTGTTCATTCATGCATCTATTTATTTACTCACTCATCCATTTCGCCTATCCGCTTCCAGACTCATTCATCAAGTGTTTTGCGTGCCCCAGAAACACAGAATTTTGTCTTTGGCGAGTCTGGGTTGCTCATTTCATTCATGCATTTGGCAAATATTTATCCAAAGTCTGCCATGAAACCACATTAGGTAGTAGGGAAAAGTGGAGACCCCATAAACATGGCCCTGTTTTCATGGAGCCTACAGTCCAGTGCAGGAGACGGGGAAGAGCCAAGTAAACAAATAAGGAAATTAAAGACATAATCTCAAGGAGTGATTAAGTATTGTGAAAACACATCAAAAGGGATGGATCAAGAAACTGGGGGCATGAGGGGAATACTTTAAAGGTAGCGGGGCAGGGAAGGCCCTCAGAGGGGATGACTTTGGTGGGCCAAGAGCTGGAAGTGGAGGCAGGACCAGCTACAGACTTTACCGGGCTCACTACAAAAAGGGGAGCCCCTTGTTCAAAAGTTATTAAGAATCTCAAGAGGATGACAGTCGAGCACACAACCAGGTGCATAAGGCCCTGGGTAACTGCATAGGTCACACGCTGTGGAGCAGGCCCTGGCGGCAAGTCTAGGGCATAGGGGAAGAGGGAGCATTCCAGTTCAGAGGTCATAGCAAGGACAAAGGCCCAGAATGAAGCTGCAACTGTGAGTATTCTGGGATGGGAGGGCGCAGGGAGAAGAAAAAGGTCCCTTTGCTGACGGCTTCAAAAAGAACTTCCTCCCAAACCACAACATTAAACATGAGCATTTTCTATCCCTGGCCTAGCCACTCTCCCAGGTGGTGCATGGCAAGAAGAAGCCAGGGTGGGCCACAGGGTGGACTTCAGGGTGGCACAGAGGCCAAGTGGTAACTGAGGAAACTAAAGGAAGCAGGAAAGATCCACAGACATACATCCCTTCTTTGCTTAAAGATCCACAGACATACATCCCTTCTTTCCTTAAAGATCCACAGACATACATCCCTTCTTTCCTTTGGTGTCCATGTGAGTGAGCGCAAAGCCCTGGAATAAACTCCCCAAGCCTGTTTTATATCTGAAAACTAGGAGAGGAGTTAGTGCAGGGCTGGAAGGACTAGTTTCTTCTGTTTTGCAGAAACTGGGCCCAAAAGATTAGGAGATTTGCCTGGGGATCCAGACTATTGAGCAGCTTATCAGGGAAAAATATGATAATAATAAGGAGAACTTTCTAGAACTACAGGGACTTTTTGTCATCATGTTTGCTTTCTTATATCAGGCTTCGTTTCCTCAATGCTCCAGCTAGTTGCAGGCAGCACACCAGCCTTCTCACCTGGCACTCAGTAACTCACATCCAAAACTGGCCTGAGGATTTGACCTGAGGGGCCCCAGGAATGGGTGTCACTACCCTGTATAAGAGAAGCAGCCAGGCAGTGGCCCTCCACAAAGCAACACTCTGGAGGGTTTTTTTTGGGTAGGGGGAGGGGTCCCCCTGAACATCCATTCAGAGAGCTGGCCCAAGGCCCTACCAGTGGTGTGAGCAGAAGGGTCAACAGAAAAATGGTTACTGAGGTCCCCAAAGGTGCCAAAACACCAAAACTGAAAACTCTACAACAGGAAAACAAAACACTCAGCCTCGTTTTGATATATTGTTTGAAACTGGCTGGAACACACAGGTTTTGAAGTCATTTTTTTTATGTAGCCGAGTCCCAAAGACAGCAGCACTAGGACAAGTGTCTAAGCCTTGACTCTCCAAAGATACATCCACATAAGATTCTCACTCATTAGAAAAAAGGAACAAGGAGGCCTCCAATGCCGGGACTCTGGGGGCTGGAAATATTCCTCATGGAAATGCCAGTATCTTAGGAGGCACCAGCAGAACTACCCAAGTTGCCCTGGATGCGAAAATTCTAAATTCCCAACTTTGAAAAACACATCGACTTGTGACAAAAGAATTGTGTATACAGTGAGTTTTGTGACCAGTGGTCACACCTCAGGGGGCTGGGCCAGCCTCCTCATGCTACAGATGAGGCACTGGAGGCTGAGAGAGGGTTAGGGACCCACCCGAGGTCACAAAGCACAGAGGTCCTCTCTGTGCCCATCACCAAACTTTGTATCTCCCACTACCCCACAGTGTGCCTGTATCTCAATGTTTGGTGCCTCTGGTTTATGGAAAGAGATACCTCTGTCTATCCACCCCCCTTTGCTGGGACAAGGTACAATAAATGATTTACCTAAATTATATGCTAAGTTTCTACGCAATGAAGATACACGGGCAGAAAATTCACTAAATATTCAGCTCACGGCAATGCAGACAGGCTCTCAGTGAAATATCTCTTGCCTTCATAAATTCACCAGCTCAACAAAGCTGTGGTTTAAGCCCAAAACAGCAAACCTCTCAAAATGGTGATGGAAGACAGTGAGTAGAAAGTTGGGAGACTAGCTGCCTCCCACCCATATTTTAACCTTTTATCGAAGGCTTTATTCTCTTGCTAAGTACCTTAGAAATGGTAGTTCATTTACTCCTTACAACTTTCTGAGATGAGAATAATAATAATGATGATGTATTGGCTTGATAAATTCTTAATCAGCACCAGCAGAAATAATTCACACAGTTGGTTCCTCCTTACCCATTGGGGCTGGGTCTGCATTAATACAGTAACCAGCAGCCACATGAGACTTTAATTTTAATTTAAGTTAATTAAAATTAAATTTTTTAATTCAGTTCTTCAGTCACACCAGCCACAATTCGATCTTAATAATCACATGTGACTAGTGACTACCATATTAGATGCACAGTTCTAGAATATTTCATTCTAGAACATTCCATCATGGCAGAAATTTGCTCGGGTCTAGTTTGAAAGTTGCCTCTTCCAAGCGCTCTTCCCTCACCCCACCTGTCTTTCTAAAATAGATCCCCTCAGGTATTCCCTCTCCTGTACCCTGTTTCCTTCTTGGCATTGGACACACTTGGAAACTATGTTATCAGCTTACTTGTTTATTTGTACATTTTCCATCTCAGAGCTAGGACTATAAAACCTGCTGAAAATTGTGATAAAAGTATCTTACCATCCCTCTTTGATACCAGTTAACAACCCCTGACTGGACATCCACTTCTAACAATCTCTGATGTTCGCCAGTTTCGGTGACTGGGTTCAATAAACTGGTTTTCTCTAATCCCCTGCTGAAATTGCCACATCGAGGGAAAGAATGGGGTTTGGAGGAGAAAGAATGTTGAAGATTACTGGAGAGGGCACACTAAGGCATAGTGGAACCTGGGTTCTGCAGTCTAACGGGCATGGCCTTTAAACTTGGCTCTGCCACTTCCTAACTGCGTGTGATCTTGCTACTTCACTTCTCTGAGCCTTGGTTTTCTCATTTGTAAAATGGGAATCTGCCCCTAGCCTTGTACCATTGTTAGAAGGGATAACTGGGCTATTTATACAAACTGTAGGTAGAAGCGGGGTGAGGAAGCTCTAAGTAAATTCGAGTGGTGGGTGCTGGTGGCCAAAGGACAAGCCCAGGAAAGGCGCTGGGGAGGAATCTACTGCTTATTAAGCACCTACTATGTACCAAACTGTGCATACTTTACAAACATTATCCTATCTAATCCCTTCAACATTTCGAAGATGAAAGATAAGAGACTGGGAGAGGTAAGGTGCCATGCCCGAGGTCACACAGTAGGGGGTGGCAGAGCCAAGGGCTAAACCCAACTCTGGGTTCTGACTCCAAAGACTGTATGCTCTTTGTACCAGACCCTGAAGCCTTCTCTTCCATTAACCGTTCCAGAAGCTCAAAATAGTCTTCCCAGAAGATCATCAGCATAGGGAACCCTTGTGTTTTTTTTTTTTTCCTCTATCTCCTACTTCCAGTAATGGAATAGATGGAAGAGAGCCTGTCTCCTTCCCCAGGTTTTTCATTTTGGTAGAGTGAGCACAAGAGCCGCTTAAAAGAATAGCCAGCAAGATTCCACCCCCAGGGAAGACAAACTGGAAGGAGGAAAGAACACTGGAAGGGAGCAGAGTTCTCCATGGCTGGCAAAGTTATAGTTGGTGCCTCTTTTCTTCTCTCTGTTTTCTCCTATGTTTCCCAAGTTTTTTTTTTTTTTCCTGGACCTACTGTATTCCATGTGTAATTTGGGAGTGGAGGTGGCAAAGCCTGATAACAAACAAAAAAGCCACCACCTGCGCGCCTGGGATAGACCCACCTGTAACGGACCTATAGGTATTTGTTCCCAACAATCAAATTGACAAATATAGCTACAGTATTTGAGCTTCTGCTCTTTAGACATCACTGAGGAAAGGCATACTTTTCAGTTGTTACCTACCTGTTGAATGCATGAATGAATAAACGAACGAACAAATAAACAAACAAATGAATGTCTCTTTAGGAGGCTAGGAAACCATCCCACCCTCCGTGCTCCCATCATCCCTTGTGGCTCTTGCCGGCCTTAGCTCATTTGGCTTAAGTTAGTTACATGCAAGGTCATCTTCCCCGACTAGGGATCTTGTACAAGAGTGTACATCTTTCCCTGGCAATGGACCCTGTACATGCAATAGATACTCAATAAATGATTTTGAAAACAGAAAAGGAAAGAAGGGAAGGGTAATGTCTCCTGTCTTTCAAACAGCCACCTTGAAAGTGTTGGCATCAGTGGAGGGCTTGACTGTGCGGAAAAGGGTGAGCCCCTACCCCAATGCTGCTCTTCCCTCCTGGTTACGAGGACAAAGGGCACATTACCTTATAGTGGGGGCAGGGGTCTCGGAGTCGCCTGATGTCAGAGCAGCCTCCAGGGACAGGGCTCCCAGGCTGGCCCGGCTGCCTCTGCGGGAAGATTCTCCGAAGGAGCCAGGGCCAGGGTCCTCATCAGAGGAGTTGTCATCAAAGGAGCCCAGGATGAAGTTGGTCATCAGCTGCCTCTTGATGTGTGCCTGCTTCTTGTCTTCTGCGGAGAGGGGTCTGGCTCGCTGGCCCTGGGACCTGGCTGGTGAGGACAGACCACTGGTATCCAGAGCCTCGAGGCCTTGGGTGCCTGTTCCATTGGCTGGGGCGTCATCACTGGAGGAAACAGAGTTTCTTGGGGGATTCCGATGTAGGGGTGGTTTGGAGGTTCTTTGCTGACAAGCGTCTTTGGGACCTTTGTGAGAGGCCAGCTCAGCCTGGTTAGGAGTCTCTGGCAGAGAGCTGCTGTCGCCATTTTTCTGCAGTGGCTCTTCTGAGCTGTCAGAGGCTGGAAAAGGCTCCTGACTTGGGACGAAGTTTGCCTCTGATTTCTCTGTGACTGCCTTGATGTCCGTCATTTTCCCCCAGATTTTTAACAAGGAAAAGGTGAGGTAAGAGAAAATCAGACAAGATAAAAAAACCAGGATCATTCAAAAACCTGTAGGGAGGAAAAAAAGAGGCAATTTAGTGACTACATAACTGAGTTATTTCTCTCTTAAAGGAGCTGGAGAGGGGCAGTTGAGATTCTGTGTATTAGGCCAAGAGAGCCGGAGGGGAGAAGCATTGAACAGAGAGTGGAGAAGGGATTCTCCTCTTGGCTCTGCCTATATAATGTGTTGTGGTCTCAGGAAAATTCCTTAACCCCTCTGAATCTCAGTTTCTCATCTCTAATTTACGTATACTAATTCATGTTCACTGTAAATCATAAACATGCATGTGAGAAAGATCTAAATGAAATGTCTGTTAAAGGACTCTGTTATAGCATCAAAATATCCAAAAAATAGAAACAATCCAAATGTCCATTAATTGATGAATGGATAAAATGTGGTACATCCATATAATGGAATATTATTAAGCCGTAAAAAAGAATGACACACTGATACATGTTACACGCATGAATCTCAAAAACACTATGCTGAGTGAAAGAAGCCAGTCACAAAAGATTTCATGTACATGATATGCCCAGAACTGACAAATTCATTGAGATAGAAGATTAGTGGTTGGTTAAGGCCTGTGAGATAGGGGTGAGAGCTAAAGGGTACAGGTTATCTGTTTGGAGTGTTGAAAATGTTCTAAAATTGATTTTGCTGATGGTTGCACAACTCTATGAATACACTAAACACTGCTGAATTGTATACTTAACATGAGGGAATTGTATGGTGTATGAATAAAGCTGTTATCCAAAAGAAAGACTTCGCTATATTCGAATTTGTAGATTTAAGGAGGCTATTGCTTCTGTCATCATCATCTTCATCACCATCATCACTGTATTATTACCATAATTGTCATCATGGTCCTGGAAGGAGGAAGGGCACCTCGCCTTATTTTCTTCATTGCGCTAGTACACCTGACGTGAGGTATGCTTAAACTAGAATGAATGCTCAACAAGACCAAGGGGACACTGTTCTATTCCAGGGTCTAGAACAGGGCCTGGTATAAAGTGCAAGCTTAAGAATTTTGTTAAATAAATGAATCCAGATTCATTTCTATTCTGATTTCTAGCCCATGCCTCTTCCCACCACGCTAACTCTGCCCTATTAATGAGCAGATTGTTACTTGAAAGAAATATTGTTACAAAGCAAATAAACAAAAACACAACCTGAACATGCTGAAATTTCTAAATTAATTTGCCATAATCATATCCTAGAAGCATTAAAAAAGCAGGATCACAAAGCTTAAGCATACCAATTTAGTATCTAAAAGGTTTTTTTCTCTTGCAGTTTCAACACAATGTTCTTAAAGGAAGAGGAACAGTTCTCAAGATTTCTCAGAACTTACACAGTGCACATGGTACACGCTTTGGGCAACAGAGTTTGCTGAAATGTTGTCAAAGGTATTTTCTAGGTAATACACAGTATCAGATGGATTTTTTTCTTTTAAGGTCATCAAGTTTCCTTTTAAAGAAATGTTAGGGTAATCCAATGTAATAAATCACATGAATAGAACAAAAGAAAAAAAAAAAACACAATCATTTCGATTGACAGAGAAAAAACATTCGACAAAATCCAGCACCCTTTCACGATGAACTCACTCAGAAATCTAGGAACAGAAAGAAATGTCTATGTACTAATGCACATTTATAAAAACCCACAGTTAGTATACACTCAGCAGGGACAGACTGCTTTCTCCCTAAGATCAGGAGTAAGACCAGGGTGCCCACTTTCACCACTGCTATTCCACATTGCACTGAAAGTTCTAACCAGAGGAATTAGACAAGAAAAAGAAATAAAAGGCATCCAAATCAGAAAAGACAAAACTACCTTTATTCTCAGATGACATGATCCTATATATAGAAAACCCTAAAGAACCAACAACAAAAGAAATCTAATAGAGTTAATAAACAAATTAAGCAAAGTTGTAGGATATAAGGTCAACACACGAAAAACCCACAATTGTGTTTCCATCCATCAGATATGAACAATCCAAAAAGGTAATTAAGAAAACAATTCCATTTACAATAGTATCCAAAAGAATAAAATACCTAGGAACAAATTAACCAAGGAGGTGAAACACTTACACATTGAAAATTACCAGAAATTGTTGAAAGAAATTAAAGACCTAAATAAATGGAAAGGCATCTCATGATATACTGCTGTTAAGATGCCATACTACCCAAAGCAATATATAGATTCTTATGGGACTACCAATTACACCAAATAGCCAAAACAATCTTTAAAAAGAACAAAGTTGGAGGACTCACAATTCCAATTTCAAAATTTACTACAAAACTACATACAGTCAAAACAGTGGTACTGGCATAAAGATAGCCATATAAACCAATGAAATAGAATTGAAAGTTCAAAAATAAACCCATACATGGCCAATTGCTTTTTCACAAAGTATCAAGGTCATTCGATGGGGAAAGAACAGTCTCTTAAGCATATGGTTCTGAGACAACTGATCTCCCCATGCAAAAAAAAAAAAAAAAAAATGAAGTTGGACTCCTAACTCATACCATATACGAAAGTTAATTCAAAGTAGATCAATAACCTAAGTACAAGAGCTAAAAACATAGATCTCTTCAAAGAAAACAGGGGTAAATCTTCATGATCTTAGATTTGGAAGTGGATTCTTAGATATGACATCAAAAGCACGAGTAACAGAAGAAAAAATACATATTGAACTTATCAAAATTAAAAACTTTCGTACATCACAAAAGTATCAAGAAAGTGAAAAGCCAACATATAGAATGGGAGAAAATTTTTATAAACCAAATATCTGGTACTGGCCTAGTATCTAAAATATATATATATAAAAAAAAACTCTTACCATTTAACAACGAAAAGACAAAACAACCCAATTTTAAAATAAGTAAAGGACTTGAATAGACCCCTTTACTAAAATAAGTAAAGGACTTGAATATTTCAACAAAGAAGATATACAAATGGCCAATAGCTCATGGAAAGGGGCTCAACATCCTAATCATTATGGACATGCAAAGCAAAACAATATATCACTTTCACACCGGTAGGATGGCAATAATCAGAGTGATAGAGAGAGGGAGGGAGGGAGAGAGAGAGACAAGGAGAGAGGGAGACAGAGAGAGACAGAGAGACAGAGAGACAGAGAGAGAGAGAGAGAAAAAGAGAGAGAGAATAAGTGTTGGTGAGGATATAGAGAAACTGACCTCTTGTACAATACTGGTGGGAATGTAAATTGATACAGCTGCTGTAGAAAAGTCTGGTGATTCCTCAAAAATTTGAACATAGAATATGACCTAGTAATTTCACTCCTAGGTATATTCCAAAAGAACTAAAAACAGGGACAAAAAAAAAAAAAAAATACAGGTACACACGTCTTCATAGCTCCACTCCAACTTTCTGATGCCCAAGCCTCGCTCTCATCCCAAGGTTTCTCAGCCACAGCACTACTGACATTTGGGGCTGGAGACTTCCTCGTGGCGGGAGACTGTCCTGTGTACTGTGAGATGTTGAGCAGCATCTCTAGCCAATACCCACTCGACGCCCGTAGCACACTCCCCTCAGTTGTGACAGCCAAAAATGTCTCCAAACATTGCCAAATGTCCCTGGGGAGCAAAAGTGCCCTTAGTGAGAGCCACTCCTCTTAACTCCTACACCTCCTCCCTCCCTCCTACTTCTAGAAGGTGAGGTGGGAGCTTCTGGAGAAAGGGTCTATTTCTTGCTCACCTCTTGCACATAGTAAGTCCTAAAGGAAGGTTTAAAAAGCATCAGCAAGAAAGGTCAGAGTCCTGAAATTGCTGGCTCACACACGCCCTTGGAAAAATTTAAACTAGTAATTGGCAAATGGCATCATCGAAAATATTGCAAAGGCTATTCTGGCTTCCCCAGAAGCTCCAACAGATTAGAGTCCTACATCTTCTCCAGGCAGGAGGGCATGCCAGGGTAGAAGGGCCACTCGCCTCTCACACCCTCTGCTGGCCGTACACAGGCCCAGCACTTTCACAACTCTGCAGCTGGCTCTCACTGAGCTCTCTGCCTAGGCCTCCTGGGCTGAGTTGGCCAGCAGGTACAGACTCCATCGTGGTGACACTAACAACACAGCGTGGAAATGGCCTGTCCACTAGTCCACTCAGGTCCTTGGGGACACGAACCAGCTGTCATTCATTTCTGGATTCTTGTACCCAGCTTGGTGCTTAGTACATAGTAGGTGCTTAAAAGCTGTTTATCAAATGAATGATAAATCCATGCACATACACTGAGCACCAACTGATGGATTAAGGTGAGCTAGAATTTTGATTTTAGGGTCTAATTTCTGAAACTATAAAGGAATGCCAGGGCAACAAGCTGGGTGTCTCCGTGTAGTTGAGTGTCAAGCAGGACACCTTATACCAATGTGATCAATTTTAGGCACATTTTAAATGTGCACATTTGAAATTGTGAGATATAAGAAATAATGAATGCATAAAATCGAAATGCTGGGCATCCCTCTGCCCCAGCAAGGCAAAAATATGCTACAATAATTTGAGACCTAGAAACCCCGAGAATGAATTTTTTTACATTGATTTCCGCTGGAAAACCAATCAAACTAAGCAAGTTTTGTATTATGTAAGCTCTTTGGGAACTTGCTCATGAAATCCTGGCTGGCTGGGGGAAAGGATGGTTGACTAGGACAGTGGGTGGAAGGATGGACAGGTGGCGCCCGGAGAGGGGTTGAGCAGACAGGCAAATGGGCAAGATGGACACGGAAGAATGGTGGGTGAAGCTGCCTCGCTCTGCACTGGAAGCTCTAATGAATGGAGTGACGAGCAGTTCTCCCCAGTTTGGGCCCTCTCTCACTCTGCAAATCCTTGAAGATCTGGTGTCCTTCTGATAGAGGCCAGTCGATCTAACCCCGCAAACCTACCTTGCAAGAGGTACTTCCACGAAATCCTCAGGGTCTTTCCCTCTTCAGAGTAATGACACGGAACAGCAAGATTACCACACGAGAACTTTCTCAAGGAAGTACCCAG